ACTGACTCCTCCACACTGACTCCTTCACACTGACTCCTCCACACTGACTCATCAATGCTGGCTGCACCATATTTTCATATATCCAGATATATCCTCATTATTGAATCATCTGCCAAATATTTTGTTCATGTGAGGATAAATAGTTTGGTCTTTTTATTGTTGATACCAATGTTGATATTTGGGACTTTGAAAAATTGAATATATTATGTGATATTTTTACATGAACACATGATATAATCATCCATCTCCATACGGATCCCTCCTATATGTGAACAAGACAAACTGAGTGAGAAAAATCTATTTGATTAAAGGTAGGGTTGGTAATTCGTTTCTAAAACACTTTTTGTCTTATTTGTTGACATTTAATTCACCTCCTGAAAGCCATCACACAAAAAAGTTAGAAAACAAGGAAGAATAAGTTTGTGTCTGTGGCTGCAGGACTGTAATAAACATCGTCAGATCACTTTCTGTTGTGAGGTGTACTGGCCAACACCTGCTGCTTTATTCATCCAAACACAAAACAAACTGCATCATCAGTTTTCTCAGATTGGAGTCAGTCACAGTAAAGTCAGGCGTCCCATGCATAGGATATTATCCTCAGTTTGATAGACAGAATAAATATTTCTCCGAAAGCAAAAATAATGATGCTCTTCGGAATAAGTTATCAGGTACATTTTACTTTGCCTTATTGTTTTTGTAGTTACCCTTAAAGAGATGTGGAGAGGTGTAGACTTCATTTTAACTGATTTTGTTGAACTATGTCCAAAAAACAAGGATGGGATGTGTAAATGGGATGTTTCCAGTTAGATTATAAAGGACATATTTAGTTTATAGAACACAGGGAAGCATTTATTGTTTATTTATCATTAATATGTGAATCAATTATGGGTGTTGAAAGGATACAGCTGGGTAAAACTGATCATTATTTACTTTATATACTGGCAACAGTGACTCAAGCCCATCAATACGTTAGTGTCTCAAAAGTCAGTTATTTATGTATATATTTATCTTTCATTCTTAGTCAGAAAGAACAATAAATGCAATAAATACAGTGTGGGGCTGAATCATAAAGCTAAGTAAGGATTAGGCACAAACACACACAGAATCCTGAGAAGAGGTTTAATCAGGCATGTTCAGGCGACTGATAATGCAGATGTAGTGAATTTTAACGTGGTTTTCACAATGGGACTGCACGGCCTTGGTAGAGGTATGCGCTCTACTGTGATGTGAAGTGGTCACATCTATTACTTTTACATAATAATAAAAATATAAATCTGTAACAGTGAATTTTTGAGAAAATGTATCAGCAATTATTTGGCTATTCTTTTATAAAATGATAAGCAGTAGATATAATGGATGGATGGATCTTTCACTATTATTGCATGTCTTGTATGTTCTCTGCATGTATGTCCCTCTGGTAACACATGTGAGTCACAGCTTTCTACCCTGACTGTTGCTCTGCAGCGTATTTTGGTCAAGCAGCAGCATCACCAGCTCTGATAACAAGCTTCACAATTTAACAGTGCTGCATCACCGTACTCCACCAGCAGAGGGAACTGAGTCTTTATAGATGGCAGCTTTGTGGAAGTGAACTATGACCTCAGGGATTTGGCAGAGGAGGAGTTTGCCTTGAGGCTGTTTGGCAAACATCATAAACTCTACACGATTCAGCCTTAGTGATTATTTCAAGCTCAGGCTGAGTGTTAATGTGCAGACTTGTGTTTGCAGAAGTAGATGTCTCCTGCACTGAAACAACTGTTTAACCAGTTCGTCTGCAAACATCAGGATGAAAGCGCTGACCCGACCTCGGCTTTCATCTCCTTGGAAACACGGCAGGTGTGAAATGCATCAGTCTCTGTGTGTTAGTACCCAGAGCAAAAATACACACTACTTTCTTGCCCTCATCCTTCAGCAGGAAATGACTATTGTAAGTTTAACAGTGCTGGTGATCGATGCTACTGTCTGGTGCAGAGATTTAATATTGATGTGTGGCCTGTTTTATATTGTTCTGCCTCACACTTATCAATGTCAAATTCAGTGTGAATTTATATGTTACATGTTAACAGTTCTCAGCTCATGTTTCTGTGAGATCTGTGGGTTTTGGAAGTTGCTTTGTTGTTTAAATGTGAACTTTACATTGTTATTAATTACACCATACTACCTTTAAATATATATTTAATATGATAATCATATATAATAATCCTTTCGTCTCTGAGAATTAAAGACCGGAAACAATAGGAAATGTCTGGCTCCATTCAGAGGAAACAAAATCTGTCTATCAGCACCTCTGAGCTGATGTGACATGTTGCATCTTGTTTGTTTAACAAAAACGTGGTTGTTTAACAGCCAAAGCATTTTTTGGTTTTGTGCAGTTTCTACCTGAGTGGTATGATATCATCTTGGCAAGACCGCAAAAGAGTTTGTGTTTTCATCTCAGTTTCTCTGTTAGTCCGCTCGATTACTCAAAAATTACTGAAATATAAGATACTCAGACATATAGTTTATTTTCTCCATTTTCCTGCAGTGTGATCGATGTTGACACCTTTTGATCATGACGAGCATGTGAAAGCAAAAGATGCAAGACGAGCTCAATATTCTCATGGATGACACCATGCTGATGTCATCCTCACTCACTAAATAGAGATTTGACCAGAGTGAGTTTATCAGATTGAGGGGATGGAAATAGATGTTTATGTTTACCTTGGCATTTGTTAGTCTGTTCGTTAGTGACAGATTTTCACTAAGCATGTAGGGATGTGGTATGGATCAGAAAAGAAGCCTTTAAATTTAGCTGAGGATCTTTCTTTGACATTGCCTGATATGATGTTCACTGCTTGCTGCTCATATTAAGATGTGCACAGGCTCAACCAGTAAATGTCGCCACTATCCAAGAAACCAAGAATACTTGCAAAAGAAAGCATCTCACTCCGTCAATGAGGTTATGTTGTCATCTGCGTTAGTTTGTTAGCAGGGCAACGCAAAAGCTTCTAGTACGATTTTCATGACATTTTATAGAGGGGTGGCACATGACGCAAGAAAGACCCATTTCATTTTGGTGTTGATCACATCCAGGAATTTCTTTGTTACTTTCTTTAACATTGTGAGATTTGGCTATTTTGTTTTTACTTGATTTCTAAGAGAAATTCATGGATCTCGATGAAAAAAGTCAGGCATGTTTTAGGACCTTTGTGCAATTTGGTGCAGATCTAAAAAACTAAATAAATCTGTATGTGAATTCAAATGTGGTTTATATGGGAACTAATGGGCCTCGGCAGAGGTATGTACTCTCTGGCCTTTATGAGAACCAAGACATCCAAAGCTTCCGATCACAATTCTTTTTTCTGAAACAGCTAAAATCTTATGGGTCAACAAATCCTAACTGCATTGCTACAGATCACGGGGACAGCGTATGTGGATTGAGGTCCAGGGAAGTTATTTTGGTTTGAGCCTAACAGAAATGAGTGGGACAGAGAGCGAGAGTGAGAGAGAGAGAGAGAGAGAGAGATGTCCTCATCACGACACTGCCAAGAAAGCTGAGTCATGTAAGATGAGAAAGAAGAAGGCAGGTCCCTGAATGTTAAAAATTAATAATAAGAGTGACAATTTTTAAAGCTAATGAGCCAGAGGAGTGAGAAATATTTAGAAACATGTGTCTGGAATCAGCACAGGTTTGAAGCCAGGTAAAGAAAGCTGCGGTAGAGTGACACTGAACATGAATGAAAGGGAGCAGGACTTTAACTGGTTAACGCGAGGAGGCGGAGAAAAGAAGACAAGCGGAATTAATGGGGTGATAACGTGGCAAAAGATAGGAGAGGCTGTTTGTCACTGGTGGACAGCTCAGATGCGTACATGTAGACACACTGTGTGTACACACTGGGAGGCAGAGAGAGAGAGAGACTGGTGCAGCAACAGGAAGCACATGAGCAGCAGGAGGAGTCGGGAGCGGAGAGGCTTGACGGCGAATAAAACTCCACGCCCCACTCTGCCAAGCATCCATTTACCGAGGAGCTGATGTGTGCTGCTTCACTGGATGCATTCAGACTCAGCAGTAACAGAAGGAAAAAACCCTTCAGTGCCGTGGCACTCTGGATGAGGATTACAGCACGCAGGAGTCGTCTCATGAACACCCACTGGAGCGTTTCTGAAGAGGTTTGTTGCATCATTCTGAGCAGAATCTTTCACGTCGGATATTTATAAGCTCAGAGGGAAGGTGAATTTATAACAGAATCTAAGTGGAGCTGCTGACAACTGTGTGAAACCTGGCTGGGGAGGATCTGGAGAGTTTCACACTGATAAACACCAGGAAGGAGCAACACAAGGAAACTGCAGTCTTTCCACTTTATCCACCCAGGATTCTACAGGTTGCTCTGGCACGTTGGGTTCAGACTTAAGTTTCGAACATGACCACCATGCAGAAGCTGCTGCAGCTGCCGGTGAACGCCGTGAACATGGTGAAGACGGTGCAGAGCCAGGTCCAGGGAGGCCAGGAGGAGGACAAGAGTCCGGTGCTGACCCCTGACGGTGTCCAGCAAGCGTGGTACAGCGCCCTCCAGCCTGACGAGCTGCGCCACCTCCGATCTGGAGGCACAGGTGGTGGAGGAGGAGACCAGGAGGAGCGAGCAGTACTGGAGGAAGGTGGTGGCGGCAGCAGTTTCCAAAGTCAACCTTTGCGGTAGGATCCAGGAGAACCACACCTGTTCCACACAGTTGTATTTCAGTGCATTTACCTGCTGTGTTTCCACAAGATAACATGATGTCAACCGGACGATGAAATTAAAATACTGAAATAACAGAATGATAGAGTTCTGATAGAGTAAGTTAGCGGATCCTAACCTGGGATTAGCTAATACCCCACCAAAGTCAATCAACGTATTTGAAAAAATATATATATATTTGACTATAATCCAATATTTGCAACTATTAAGATAAGATATTGTTATTTAGTTGAACTGTGAAGAGACCGTACTTCATTGTAAAAGTTGGGGATGATGAGTATAAAACCGTATTGTGCACGGATCAAAAGTGTGGACAGGAAGAAGGTAAATAGAAGTCATGGCTGCTGCTTTGTCTATTGAAGTGGCAGATATTTACTCAATCAACTAGTTCTTTGATTTATAAAATCTCATAAAACTGTGCCCACATTGTCCCTCTTACATTTTGACTTCCTATTGTGTCAAAACCTCAAATTTAAAGACCAGGGACGAGCAGAAAGTCCTCACACTATGATAATATTCTTCATTTGAGCTGAAATCATAGGTTGAGCTATCACCGTGCAGATCTTATTGTTAGTAGCTAATATTCAAACAAAGTGGAGAAGGGTTCCATGTGAACAGCAGTTGAACATGGGTCAGTTGTTCCTAAGAGATGGGGGAACACGTGAAATGGACATGAGAGGAGACATGGCTTCCAAAATGATGGGATGAGACGTCATCATCAAGAGCCAAACAGAAAAGTGAATAGACTTGGTTGAGAAAGAAGGTTTCAGACATACAGATACTGTTAACGTAGCTTTGTTATAAGAAAGTAGTTTCTTTTGCTCTCACAATAAGCTGCGTCTCTGCATCCTGTATCAGTAATCAGACCTGCACCCAGTCGTGTAAAGGCTGAAAGGAGGAGCAGTGGTCTTTAATTAATTAGACTGCAGAGTTTAAAAAATGTACATGAGAAGTGAAGCTCTTCAGAAATTGGTTTCTTTCAAGAGACGTATAACTGTAAGGTTGAACTGGGTCATATATCTGCTCTGGTTCTTTCCAATTTCACAAGATGAAAGCTCGGCCATTTCAAATCTGTCAGCGTTGGAAAACAAGAAACTTTAAAAGTCTGTGCTGGAAGAGAGTGAGTCCTGCTGATCTCGTGGCTTCGCTGCCAGGTAACCTGAGCGTCGGTGGAGTCTGTCGTACCACGGTGGGTTAAATAATTCAAAGCTGTTTGTAAATTCAGCTGTTGTTCAGCAGGTAAGGGACAAAATCCAGGGAAATGAGAGAGGCTGTGTTGGTGTTGTGTTACTTTGGGGCCTTTGGGCATGAGCGGAGACGTGTAAACCCAGCCAGGGCTGTTTTTTTCTCCAGGTGCTTCGACTTAACTTCTAAAATAATTCACTGAGATATAGCATTTACAGTTTGTGGTCATATGGTGGAACAGATAGACTCTGAAGGGCCCAGGGCTGTAATCTTTCTCCTGGAACTGCTGTGCAGTATTTTTTCTTCTGCTCCATTAAACACCTCTGGGAGTTATCGTTTGTGTTGTAGCAGATACAATTCTTCAGCAAAGAAAACTTGTAGTATTTAAAATAGTGAGAAAAATATTGTCTCACTCTTCAATTATGTGCTCTGTTTTAAAACTAGATTAATAAATGTGGTTCTAAATATCTGATAATCCCACTCTGACATGCTGGACCTGTCTGAGTGGGATATCAGCCTGGTTTTCAGCCTGGTTATCCACTGCTATAGCAAATATCATCAATGATTTCACTTTTAGCTTTAATTTGATTTCCTAAAGCCGTGTCTGTCATCAAACAAACTACATGAAACCCTGTGTCTGGATATTTGGTGAGGCTGATCAGGGGGTTCATTAACACTGTGAAACGAATTAACCCTTTGTTCGGTATATTTCTCACCTTTTTAATTCAATCATTTAAGGTTTCTGTTCATACTTTGGTTTAATTCATTTTTATTTGTATATTATCTCGAGGCACTGAACATAGTAAGGTTGAGACCTTACAGTTTTGTAGAGGAACACAGAGAAACACTGGTTCCTGCAGACCAGGAACAGATGTGTGAAGGGTTGACCATACTTTCCACCTCCTCTGTTTAAGGTTGCTTACTTGTTCCGGTTACATGATTCCAGTTATTGAAATGAGGTTTACATTCCACTCATAAAGTATGCGGACATCCACATGGGGGTCCTTGTGTACCCTAGCAGACCTGAGTGGACGAAGACATATACGTCACAAGCACCGTAGTGGACCCCTGCAGACTGACGTACTCAATACCATGAATTTGCCTCATACGTTGTTCTAACGAAATTATCTGCTAAACTAATGACTATTCCAAGCCAAAGTGTTGTGTGTGTTTAATGCTAATTGGTGAATACAGTGCAGTGCCAGTTCTAGAGCTGTCTGTTTGGAACGGGTTGTTTGTTTGTCCTGTGTTAATGCTGATTGCAGTTTTCTCTCCGAAACTGTAAATGTCACCTGCAGTAATTGAAGCTGCTACAAAAAAAGCTGAACAGCCTGTTCATTCAAAGTTCAGTGAAGCTCGACTCTGTACTCAGAACGCCGAACTGGAGAATCAGTTGTTGTTGTTGCTATTGTCATGAAAGAGTTGTGATCGTGGTTGACAATGTCACAAAGGGTTGAGAAAAGCTTGAGTTGCAGACGACCAGGACTGCTGCAGAGTCCTGGTCGTCTGTTTGTGCAAAGTTTTTTAATATTAAGTGTAGCACGTGTCCAAATCATACCGTGAGTAGAGTGAGTGAACTTGAGTGACCAGAGCCTGGACCAGAACCTGTGCCGCCTTCTGAGTGAGAAGGGGACGTGTTCTCCTGATGTTGTGCAGCAGCACAGTTGGTAACTAAGGAACCAACATCAGTTAAGTGTGTCCAAAAATAATCTTCAGCAAACAGCATTTTAAAGATACTGTCAGGTTTAATTTCACTCTGATGAATTCAAGTTTTGAAGTGTGTGGAAGAGTAAACTGTGTTATTCCTACATTGCAATTATCCACACTTTGATGGTGATGGAAGCAGAAACAGTTCTTAGTGCACAACACTCTGGCACACACACACACACACACACACA